GTTAGGGTACAGCTGCAGAGTTACTTTGTCTTTGGAAAACTGCGTAAGGAGGCTCCACCATCCAAGCCTGTGACTTGCACATTCTCCATGCAGACATGATCGCCACAACGAAGACAGTTTTCTAACACAGAAGGGAGAAAGAAGAAGTTGCCAGAGGCTCGAATGGAAGTCCCATAATAGTGGCTAATACACTATTAAAACCCCTTAAAGGAAGTGGCTCTTTTACCAGTGGGTGCAGATGAGTGACTCCTTTCAAGAAGCTCACTGTCATGGAGTTTGAAAACAGTGATTTCCTTTACATGGGTTGATGAAATGCTGAAATCATCAGCAGGTGGACGCTCAATGAACTAAGTACAAGATCAGAAGACTGAAGGTTTAACAGGTACTCCAAGATGTTCTGGATACAAGCCAGAGTTGGTTGATCTCCTCATGCTAATTATCATACCAAGAACCACTTTCATTTGGGTGGTTCTTGGTATGGTAAGGAGGGGTCCCTACTATTAAGCAAGACCTGCTGGACCTCCACCAAACATTATTCCTCCTCCTCATCTATCCATGCAGCATCCACGCTGTGAGATGCAGGTAGCTGAGTGCAAAAACCCGATTGTGATGCTGAGTCAGGAGTTTGGGATGAAGGAAGGGATAAGAGAGACTGAACTGATAACACAAGAAGGTTGGAAAACCAACACTGTCTTGACCACGCTGGAGCAATGAGAATGAGGTTGGCATAGTCCAATTTCAGTTTGAGAATGATCTGCAGGATGATTGGAATTGGAGAAAAAGCATACAGGAATGCCAACTCCCACCTCAGGTGAAAAGTATCAGTCAAGGAGTGTGTACACTCCAAAGTCAAGATGTGATCAGGCTCTGGCAGTTTCGCATCAGGGAAAACGTTACCCCTGTGGCAGATCCCTTACTTGGGATACAGAATCACCTGGCAGATCACCTCAGCAGAAATTTCTCTGTGAATCACAAGTAGTCTCTGAAGTGCAGAGTCTTATGGTCCATTTTTGGAGTTTGGGCCATTCCAACAATCAACCTGTTCTCCATGAGCGGCAACAAGAAATGGTGGTTGTTTTGCTCCCAGTGGGGTCTCAGTCCAGACTCAAAGGCACAACCTGGCATTTTGGAATACCTGTGTCCATGCAACCATATGGCCTAGCAACCTCAACCATACTTGGACTGTGGCTGAGGATTCAGACTGTTGCTCCAGACATAAGTGATGAATCACCTGGAATCGCTTGGTCAACAGAAACACACTCAAACTCACAGAATCTATCTGGGCCCCAATTAACTGCTTCTTTGAGTTGGAACCAATGTTGATTTTGTGTTATTTATGATGAGACCTAGATGATTAAGTAGGCATAGTGTGAAGTGAACATGAGGTAGGACTTTGTCTCTGGACTTGACCCTCAGTAACTCAGAGCCCAGATATGGAAAGAGATAAATTCCCTTCTTTCTGAGGTGCACTGTTACTGCAGAGCAGAAGCCGAGAAGGAGAAGACAGGCTGAAAGGCAGTACAATATACTGGTAGTGCTGGCCACCTATGACAAATGTGAGGAACCTCCTGTGGCTCAGGAGGATTGCTACATGGAAATAAGCATCCTGAAGGTCCAGGACAGCAAACCATTCATTGTGATTCAAGGCGGGGAGTTGGTAGGGTAACCTTATGGAATTTCACATATCTGATGTATTTTTTGAAACTGCAGAAGTGGAGGACAGGTCATATAACTCCCTTGGGCTTGGGGACCAGAAAATACTGATGCTGCAGGGGAACCTCCTCTATGGCCCCCATGCCAGTAGAGACTGAAACTGCTCTAAGAGCAGTATCTTGTGAGAGAAGTCCCTGGAAAGGAACATGGTGGGGATGGGGGTGAGAAATGGAGAGGAACTGTATGGCAAAACCTGACCATCAAACAGTAAGTCCTCAGTGATCTGCTGCACATTGGACACAATGCCTGAGTCCTGCAGCCACGAGGCCTTTCTCATGGTCACAGCCTATGCCATAAATCTGCCTGAGGCATCCACCTCATCCAGAGCTGCCTGCAAGGAAGTCTTGGCCATCACACAGACTTCTGCAATGAATGCCATAAACTCTTAACTCAAGGGTTTTGGCAACTTCTCTGTGAACTTAGACAAGACTGTCCAATTGACAAAGTCATATTTACAAAGCAACACCTGTTGGTTCCTGATGTAAATTTGCAGGGAAGAGGAGGTATAAATCTTTTTCCCTACCAAGTCCATCCTCTTGGACTCTGTTCTGGGATGTGAATTTACACCTGCCCTGCCCAGCCCTGTCATTTGCTGCAGTTACCACCAGCAAGTTAGGAGCCAGGTAGGAGTTGAAACCCTCATACTCTTGCATGGGAATGAAGTACCATTTCTCTGAACATTTTGCCATAGGGTACAATGAAGCTAAGGTGTTCCAGACGGCCTTTGCAGGCTCCAACGGAGCCTCATTTATCGGCAGGGCTACTCTTCCTAGAGTTGATGATTGGAGAATATCTAGCAGCTATGTGTATTTTCCTGTAGGAGTTATGCCTGCATACCTAAGAAAGCAGTCATATGCCTCAGAAGGTCCTGATATGCCTCAGGTGTCCCTTGCTGAGGCACAACAAGAACCTTTGCCCCTCCACAACATACAGTGCTTGAACCCATTCACCTGCACATCCACTAATGTTATATATGCCATCATGTGCCAGGAATGCCCCTCTGCCATGTACATTGGCCAAACCGGACAGTCCCTCCGCAAAAGAATAAATGGACACAAATCGGACATCAGGAATGGTAACATACATAAGCCAGTAAGTGAACACTTCAATCTCCCTGGTCATTCTATTACAAATTTAAAACTCTCTATCATTGAACAAAAAACTTCAGAAACAGATTTCAAAGAGAAACAGCAGAACTAAAATTCATTTGCAAATTTAACACCATTAAGCTGGGCTTGAATAGGGACTGGGAGTGGCTGGCTCATTACAGATGCAGCTTTTCCTCTCCTGGAATTGACACCTCCTCATCTATTATTGGGAGTGGACTACATCCACCCTGATTGAATTGGCCCTGTCAACACTGGTTCTCCACTTGCAAAGTAACTCTCTGCTCTCCATGTGTCAGTATATAATGCCTGCATCTGTAACTTTCACTCTATGCATCTGAAGAAGTGAGGTTTTTACCCACGAAAGCTTATGCCCAAATAAATCTGTTAGTCTTTAAGGTGCCACCAGACCCCTTGTTGTTTTTGTAGATACAGACTAACACGGCTACCCCCTGACACTTGAACCCAGGTGAAGGCACCACACAGGGCAGCCAGCTTAACACTAAACTAAACCTAAGGCACTACTACTACTACCATATACAGGATAAGTTCTCAGAAAACTGAGACCGAAAGTGTGAGGTGAAGGCACCATAAAAAGCTCCGACTCTAGCCACTGGCAATGATAATGAACTGAGGGGGTCAGGGAGACAATGCCCTTATCTGGCTCAGGGATGGGGACTGGGGCCACAGGGCATGAGTGACACTTCTATAGATACTAGACAAAGTTCCCTGGCTCTGGTACTCTGGATGCACACACATCTACATGAAATAAATGGCTGCATCTACTTGAAGAATAACTGTTTCAAATGCAGGTGTTAATAAATTTTTCCTACAGGCCAAACGCTCCAGTCCCTACTTTACTAGACTCTAATTTTATATTATGTCTTTCCCTAAGATGTCTGGATTTTAGCTCAAAGACACAGCACAGAAAAATCTTTTTATGTTTGCATCAGCTTTCACACCCATATAAGTCAGCTTCATGATCCTCTTAGACAAATTCATGCTGGAGCTCAGACTGTCTGTATGTGCAGCTTGAGGGGGCAACAGGGCTATGTGGAAGAATATTTACTGATTGAAATGTCTACCAGCCTTCACCCTAGTATCTTTTTCAACAAATAGAAAGCGACAAAAATTGGAAGCCTATGTAAGTCTACAATTATACAGTGAACATCAAACCTCACATTTGTGAAGTGAAAATTTCATTGTTTAAATGTTTCTTCATTTGCTTCTTTGTGGCATATATCAAGCCACGATTTCAAATAAAACTATTTTAACTGTATATTGATAATAATCTGTTCTCAGTGATAAATATTTTATTTTAAAACATGATAAACTGTCACATTTATTCTATAATTAAAATAATTATAACTAAATTTGGTTCTAGTTTACAGCTCTGAATAGAGGAAGCAAAACCTATCATGATCCACTTTATACTTTTTAACAAAAGCCATACTCTTTGTTTCCTGAGAGCCCACAAAGTAATATTTGGCAGGAGTTCTAAGGAATATTTTAGAAAATAGCTTTTTCCTAATGGAGCTGTTGTACCTGGATACAAGACTTCTACTACACTATTATATGGTAGTATTACCAATGATTTTAAGGATTTAGTATTTCGCCTTTTTCTATCAACAAATGCACTACATTTTAATTTGACATCCTGGCAAGGCCAAATAAAAATAATGGTGACTATAACTGTACAGAATTCTGTATATATGCAATAGTACATTAAAATATGCTAAAAGAAAGTTTTTAAAGTTGCAAAGTTGAACACTAAAAAGTTAGGAACAGACAGAATTAAGATTATTCATATTACTTTTTTCACAAGACTCTTGCCTCACTCAGTACCCAGTGAATGAATGGACAATGGGATGGACAGTACTCAGCAAATTAAACAGTTGTTCAACATTTACTTTTACCTCATCGCTCAATGTGTGTGAAACTTAGACACAGAGAGATTAAGGCCAACATTTGCAGAAATGTCCACTAATTTTGTATGCCTCAGTGACAGAGTCATCAGACTTGAGTCTCCCTGTGTTCCCAACTGGCCTGTGCCAACCAAACTCACAAAGCAAGAGCGATGAAGATTTATTGCTGCACTTAGGCAGAACAGAATCCATTACATTCTGAGTATGACAGTGTTTAACAAATGTTTTCTCTTTCCATATTTGAAAGCAAGCTTACCTCTCTCAATACAGGATCAGTTATTGAACTCAGATTGACTGCTCCTTCATAGGTTAAATAGTAGAATACATTCAGGGATCGGACAGCCTCTGGCCCTTGCTGTTTGTAGCCAAAAATTAGATCAATCCATTGGTGAAGCTGGCACGAAACAAACTCACTCTCCAAGGCCTGCAACAAAATGTAAAATATGTTATCCTGACTTCTGCTATTATTCTTTCTTAAGAAACTTGAATATTCATAAATAGGACATGAAATCATCTTTAGTAGTTCCCCTGCATCAATGCTACTAATATTTTAGGAAGTGTACAAAAATTTCTAACATGTACAAAAGCATACTAGGGTGGAAAGAACCAGCCATGTGGACCACCTGCTCCACCCCTCAAAGTCCAGATGGGAGAATTGCTCCTCATCCTATCAATGAAGAGGGCAGGGATAAGACAAACAACCAAAATGAGCCTGCCCCGCTTTCTGTGGGATGGGGAGGGTGAATGCATGGTATCTTAGACCAGTTGTGACATGTGGACAGAGGGCTGAGAGATTTGAGGATATTAAAGTAACTGGGGGTGATCAGGTGAAATGCAACTAAGTAGTTCTGTATACCACACATGTTTTCATATATGTTAGTTTGCTATTACTTTTGTCTGTATATTTATGCTTGTCCAAGATTGTAATTTTAGGGTATATTTATGCTGCAATTAAACCCGTGGTTGGCTTGTGTCAGCTGGCTCAGGCTGCAGGGTATAAAATTGCACTGTAGACATTTGGGCTTGGGTTGGAGCCTAAGCTCTGGGACCATCACACTTTGCAGGGTTGCAGAGCCTGGAGCTTCAGCCCAAGCCCAAATGTCTACAGCACAGTTTTACAGCCCCGAAGCCAGAGCTCCGTGAGCTCAAGTCAGCTGACACAAGCCAGCCACAGGTGTTTAACTGCAGTGTAGAAATACCCTTATTGAACCAGGAACTGTCTTTTTCTATGTGTATGTATGGTACCAGGCACAACAGGTACCCAATTTTGACTGGGGCCTCCCGGAGCTACAGTAAGACAAATAATAAACAAATTAATAACAAAATATTCTTCCATATAATCCAGTTAATATGTAACATACTACTCTAGAACCATATGTTCCCTAAGGCATCAGTTATCAAGTTAATTTTGAAAACCCAGGACAGAGAAAGCAATTCAGATAACTCTAAAAAGTAGAAATTAAAGAAAACGTTCAAATGAATTTCCTCTTCTCAAGTTGTGGCATGCAGAAGATACTTTGCCAAAATAGTAAAAAAAAATTTAAAAGATTAAGAAAAATGCATATTAGGTATTATATACACAAATTAAAAAAATATTATATAATTAAAATACAGCTTAAAGAAACCTGCCATTGGGACAGCATCTAGATACTAGATTGCCTGGAATTGTTCAGATACCAAGGTAACTGCATGTAATTGGCGTGTAGGTCCCAGGTTTGAAGTAAGGGGAGGTAAGTCTGCTGGTGATTTTACCTCGGGACAGATTTACCCATGAGTGCACGGAGAGTAGGTAAGCAGCAACTTCTAAGAAGCTAAGGAAGGTCCATTCACATAGTGGTACTAGCAGATTATCATCACACTTCTTTGCTTACTGAAAGGATTTTGGAACTGTTTCACAATTTCTTATGCTGATCAGAAGATTCATTTAACAGACTTAACCAGTCTGTTGCATATTTACGGATGAGAACCTGTACTCCATGGTCTCCGTGCCTCAAGTTTATCACAAAAAGCACCAACAGATGTGCAAGACTGGTTATATTAGCATCTCCTTCACATTTCTGCCTATGGGTAACCTCCATCTGGTCTCCCTCAGTCTCATACCCAATAAGGTCCCTGGTGAATATATAATTATTCACCCCACCACTAGCATTTCTCAGTTAGAAGTCAATTAATTTGTAAGATTTCTTCATGCACTACTCATCTTTCAGACACACAGGCAAGCCAGACCTCATTAACATGGAGGCAGTACAAAAGCGGAAAAATCTACTGCTAGTTGAAGTCATGTGGGTACACTGGCAGCAAGATATTTGGCTTCTCATTCAAAGGCCAATATTACTCAAAGTGGGCCATATCTATGAGCTACTTTTTTTCATGTGCAATCTTCGGAGCATTCAGTTCTTTCCTTAAATGGGCAATGGGTTCAAAACAATGCTTAGAACTTGAAAGGTTTTTGTTCAGGGCTGTAGGTCCTCCAAATTTCACTCGCTAATTTAAAAAAAATCCTACCTAGATAACCTACTAAGGGATATAATCTAGATAGAGTGGCCAGAAATTTTTGCCTCACACAGGACTAAGTTGGTAGACTTGGAGAGCTGTTTTCTGGGTTATAGGCATTTCACCTAGACAGAGAGAATTTTTCCATTGCCTGTCCTATACCACTGGTATACATTGAGCAGTTCATTTTGGCCTGTAGGTGACAAAATTTGTTCACTCCATCTCTGACTTTCACTTGGTGGACACATAATTCTGTACCCAAAGAACTCCACCATCCAGACCATCTGATGGTTATCTGGTGCACACCACACAAAGGCCCTAAATATGTTCAAAAGAACAAGCTGCTGAATTATCACTGTAGCATCACGTGGATACTCAGGGATATGGGCAGCTCTCAACTCGCAGTAAGTGGGATGTAGGCAGATAGGTCTGTCTCCTGCAGAGAGAAACTTTCGCTTGAGGGATGGAGGCTAGCCTATAAAGGTTGGGTGCAGGCATTTCTCTAAGGGAGATCAGATATGGTACTAATAGCAAGTACCAACTAGATGGCTGCTGTTTCTGCTCTAGGACTATATAAGACCATAAACTGGGTGGGTGGAAGGGTACCTGATTTGGGTATAAGAAAACTATGAACCACCCTCCACCCCTCTTCACAGCTGACAGGACTTCCAGCTTCTAATTCAGTTAAGTTTAGTAGTAGTATAGTTCAATACTTAAAAATAATGACATTTTTTGGTTTCTATAAAAAGACAGCGTGCCATTAAAATGTGGACATTTACTGCTCATGGTAGTCAAGTTTAACATCACATTCCCTATTCTAAATTTAGGGAATACTGAAATATCATGATACAGGAAAACATTACAGTGCAGCAAACAAAGATTTTACCATTGCCCACTGAACACATACACTTTGTATATACACATACAGAACCATTTTCTGCAGCATGCTGGAAGATTAAAACACTGTTCTGAAAATACTTGGCTAATTCACAATCCAATGCACAGAAAGCACACAATTAAATTAACAAAAATGAATCCTTGACCAAGTAAATCAGGTTCAATACATGTTCAAAGGTATTATCTAGAATGAATCTACTATATTTCTAAATATTTTATACAACAACTTTAAATTACTGGCAGGATTTGCTTTATCAATCTTGTGTAGAATTCAATTCAGTTCCATTTTTAATAAGTACAGATAAAACAATACAGAGAAGTATAATATTATTCTATGGGACCTACAGAAACTAAGAGCATTTTTCTTTTAAAGGAAATTCCTAATTTTGAACAGCAGAAGTTAAAATTAATCTGAAAACCTAAGAAACTGCTCTGGCATTTGTACAAAAAATGATGGGTTTGTTTCATTAACCGATGTCTGAAAACAACATTTAAATTGACACATAAAAACAGCCATTGTCTTAATTTGTGTGGTGTACTCCACACAAAAGCCCTAAATATGTTCAAATTAGAGCAAGCTGCTTGATTGTCACTGCAGTCTCATGTCACATTAATGCATGACAAACATTAAACCATACACTTAAATGGCAATTTATATCATTTAAATGTTTACTGCCAGACCAGCTCATCACTCATTTAAATGCGACTTTCTGACAGCTAATTTCAGTTAATTTTCCTCGATTCACTTAATTAGAACTTTCAATCAAGAAAAGACTTGTACATATTTTCCAGGTTTTTTTTTTATTTGAATTCTCAGCTATTGACATGCTGAAAATATCCTCTAAAATGGATTACCAGATAGTATGTCATGTCCTACCAAAAAAAAAAAAATGACCACATGGAAAAAACCTTACAATATATATGCTTTGACAAGACTTATTTATGTAAAAGTACTTTTCATTCACACACACACACACACACACACTCTCTCTCTCTCTCTCTCTCTCTCTCTCCCCAATTAAAACTATAAAAAACAGCAACCAAGCAAATTAAAAATTAATGACTTCAAAATTGTTTAATAAGATAAAAATAGTCAGGAGTCTCATGAGTGACCATAGAGCTACAATGTGAGGCTATAAAATTCTACAAGGCTCAGCAAATGACAATGATGTGAATTAATTTTCTTGCTATCCTGCCAAAACCTTTTAACATTAGAACATATTTAGTTTCTCTTTTATCTATTTCATCTTAGATAATTTTTGTTTTAAGGGCATATGATTTTATATGTTCACTATGCAAACTGTATTTCACTATTTTTCATGAGCAAAAATTCCTAAAGGGAATGGCAAAGTGAAACATACTATAATGGTCATATTACACCCATAAAACACATGGGCATGGATAACTACTGTAATATTGTTCTGCAATCTCTTCAGGTTACCAAACATATAAATCTAACAATCTCTTAAAAATTACAGTCTCACCATTTATTCATGGAACTGCTGGTGGACATCCTGAATTTGCTTCCCTTTTGCAATGTTAAGATAAAAATGTTCTTTTAAATTACATAGATTTAGAATTATAAGTACAGGAAATTAACAAGGGAAAGACGATGGAGATTATTTGTTGTATCATTTACACTATATTAGGGCATTTTTAACATCTTTGTCCACTTTTCAGGACACAAATATGAGGAATAAAAGAAAAATGAGTAAGATGAACATCAGTATTCACAACACTGCAGGAAAGGCCAAATATAACATACAATTTCAAAAAGATAAATAAGGTTTTCTGTCATTCTAGGTTAACAGTTATGGTATTTGGGTGATTATGAATTAGACTTAAAAGAGTGGAATATGATTGAACTTCAAAGTGATTAAAAACAAACTAAATTTTCAAGGAAAACACCAGAGTATAATACTAAAAATCCAATTTGACTATAACTAAAATCAAAACCCCTTTCAAAACCTGAAAAATGTAAAGTACAACATTCATAATCCTAAAATAAATCTACTATATTCATAACAAATTCTCTTCTTTTAAAAGGGTGTTGGTGTGTTTTTTAAATTATTCTCCCAATATTTACCCACTTAAAAAATAAAACTGAGGCCATGGAATGCTAAACATTGAGGATTACTCAGACCACTAGGACAGACAGTCCTCATTAAGGCCAGAGTTAAATACGGTGTGCCGCTATGGGATACTAACATTCTTCCCATGCTGCTCTTAAAACTAGCCAATCAATTGTTAGTACTCCCATAGCAGTATGGATACAGTACATCATTTACATCCAATGCGTGCTCCGAGTAAAATTTGTAAAAGAAGAAAAAGAAAAGAAAAACCGCTACAATGTCCAACACAATACAGTAATGTTCAACTCTATTGAGTTATTATAAAATAAATCAGTGATTAATGTCCAATTGTTAAGGATCAAATAAGATCATGAAAAGACTGTCATGTGAAGCTACACACAAATTGTCAGTTCAGTCCAGTGGGACTCATATTAGCTTTGACAAACTGTCTTGGGGCTGATAGCTGTTTTTTTAATGAGATCTATTAGGCAGAGACTAAAACACTTGAGATATGCTAAAAAGTACAGTATACAGATGTCAAACACAAACACCTATTAGTAACTTTCATTTGTCCATTCCCAAGGCAGAAATGCGTCAGAAACATTAACCAAGTGAGGCTATGGTATTACAAGGGAAATTTCAAATTATTCAAAAATATATTTCAAATGCAAAATGCAATGTTATTAAATAAAATGCAATTTAAACTCTCCAAATATAATTCTGAAATTTGTGATTTACTATGTGGCTTTTTATTGCCTATTTTATAAAAAGAACAGAAAAAAGTATTGAGGACTGTATTTTATATATCTTAAAGGTGCAATACAAAAAGCATTAGGCAAAATGTGGTCAAAATGCAACAAAAATGCTAAATTAACATGGCTAGAAACAATTTTCTTTCTATAGTTAAGTTGCTAACAATACCACATTTACTAAATACCATTATATTTTAAGACTCTGACACACTTTTAAAGTAACCACCTCAAGGGTTTTTCCCCTATACAATATTTTTTTTTCTATTTTATTCTAGATAACAGTGCACGGCATGTGAAATAGTACATATTTTAAAAACAAATATTAGCGATTAGGATTATTCTGATTTTTCATTTAGACAAATACATTAAGTATACATCATTTCAACAGTATATGCACTATTTAGACAAACTTATTTACAGTGAAACTATTCAGAAATATAAGGCCACATTCCTGCTTGCCTTACTCTCCCAATGAGTATTAAGTAGCTTTTAATATAACCAAAATAAAAGAAGACATCTGATGGACAGTAAAACTATTTTTTGAACATGCACTTGAACTTGGGTCTATATGTTTTACTTCTGTACATTTTTCTAGGAACACATTAATTTGGCACGTAAAAAAATTAAATAATTTCAAACCTCTTAGAACATTGGTGTTTGCCAGATGTACAAATGCAAATAAATGTCCATAGTCTCCAAAGGGTTAACGTATTTTGCTACCACTTTGAAACAAGGGATGCCATTACAATGAGTCAAAATAAAAC